ACTATAGTATTATCATCACTCCTTAATACTATGTTTAAACAGAGAGAAAATATCCCTAGAAAAATAACCAATAACAACTCTTTACATCATATGACAAATTACCTACAAAATTCTCCTGGAAAAGGAGTGGAATAATGAAATTTACTTTGGTTTCTTGAATCCTGAGAAAAAGAAACCTTGAGAATTCTCTTCATTATAAGGTCCTGAATACAGGAAAAGGAAAAATTAAAGAAATAAATTAGGAAATGGTAACTTCAGCACAGGATCAAAACTGACATGACAAGTGAGAACACACAAAAAAGTGAATTATTTTAATCAAAAATGCCTTATCACTACTTTTCGATTTTCACTTCATGTATCACACTGAAAAATCAATTGCAAAAATCCTGCACTGGAATTTCCCATTAAATTATGGCCAATTTCTGGCAGCCATATTAACTTACCTTCAAAGGAAGGAGGGATATATGCCATTTTCAAGCAACTGTCCATTCCATGAGCAGTCATTTTGAAAGGAATAACAAGTTTATGTTTGAAAAACAACTTTATGACACCACTGGCTGGAGACAAAAACAGAATATGAAGCTATTATTGAAAGTGAAACCAAGTGGTGTGTTAGATTTTAGCTGGTGTGTCCTAAGAGCCCAAACAGAGGGTATTCACAGAACTAATTAAGCTAACAAGGTATATCTCTGTCTCTCTGTATACTTTGAAGCAGGAGAGGGGAAAAATCCACCCCTGCACACTGTGGTAACTACAAATCTCTTTTAAAACTTATTAACTTTTTGTATGAGAAAAAACATGATGTGGTCAATAAGGTTAAATTTTAGTGAAAGTAGAAAAAATAAATATGCTATTCCCCTGCATGTACACCTAATTTTTGTATACTTTTTCTATGCCTTTTCTTCCCCCCCACTTTCTTTTAGATTTTCTTTCATCATTCTCAGAAAATTGCAGTTTCACATAGAAGTCACTAAAAATAAATAAATCCTTGAACTGACAGCATGTTAATTTAATTTGAAGACAGTAAAGAGAGGAACAGTAACAACAACAGCAAAAAACTAAAAGTTTCCACCCTAAGTTTTGAACAATATTATCTTTTAATATTTACATACAAATTCCAACATTTTAACAAGAAGGACAAGAAAGAGAATGGTGCAGCTAAGTGTTATGTCACATAAGAATTCAGGTTCAGAAGGAACCATCTGATTCATTCAGTTGCAACTGCAACAGACTTTCAGCTCTGAAAAGGTCGATGCCAATTCCATATGCACAAACTGGAACACTTCCAGTGCATTATAACAAATTAAAACTCCATTTAATATTCAAAGTTACTAAGAAATCATAATGATATCATGTCAAAAGTGATAACACAGAACTAGTCTCAGAAAATATTGCCTATGTCCTATACCTCTAAAGTGACCTTAAAAGGTCACTTAAAAGTATTTTATACTTCAGTTAACATTCTAAATAAGTTTAAGAGCTCTTCTAAACATATTTGTTTGAATTATATGAGCCTACGATTATAAAATAAAAACTTAGATCTGATCCAATAACCATTACTAGGTCTGCTAGTGTGGAGGAGGTGATAAATTCCCACTTTCAGCTCTGAATTTCTTGCCTTTTCTCTATGTCAAATAATTTCCTACATTTAATAATAATAACGATAATTCAGTTTTTATATTCTCTGTTCTGCTAACAACCACACCTCATCTCTGTTTTTCTTATCTGTCTACTCCTTGCTTGCAGTTCTTCAGCTAAATAACTCCATTAGGATCTCCCTTGGCTATGCTTGCCCATCTGTCTTTGTCAGCCATGTAAATACAAAGGGCATGAAGGTTGCAGGTAATCCAACTCTTCAGTCTTCACAAGTGCAGTAAGCAGTTTTGCAGCAGCATTCTTTCCTGCCTTCAGTCATAACTGTCAGGCTTTATGTACACCTTTTTGGAGAATTAATGAGTATTTTCTTGTAATCAATTCAAATACAAACTCCAGTATATACAACAAATGCAATTTTGAAGGAAGAACTTCCCTTACTTACCCACTTCGCACTGTTTAGCATTTGATTATTTTAATGCTTCAGTACAACAGCTATATTACCTTGGAATCCTAAAGGTGAGGGTGGTGCATTGTCCCTCACCTCTGGAAACTGGTACTCAGGATCTCTGTCCTCATTTACAAAAAAGCAGGTAGGCAACAATTACGTTGTAATGTATTTTCAATCCAACACTGAAAACAAAACAACTAAATTACAAAAAATTGTGTAATTTTTCAGTTACAAACTCAATAGAAAGTAAAGCAGCTATTACAATGTCTGGTAATGTCTAGATTTCTGCACTCAATCTTGAATTAAACTATAATTAGGCAAGACACATTTGTATTCCCAAACATTTTTAAGTCTCTTAACAAGTTAGTTTTTAAGCAGATTCTTTCAACTGATGAATTCAGCTTTAAACTTTATCTTAGCAAAAGACAGATTGAATCAGTTTAAGAAAACTAAGAACATGAAGATATTTTAGTCACTAACTTTATTTATCTAATATACAGAAACCTGGAGGAAAAAAGAAATTGGACAAGAGTGAAAGGTTTACAACTTTGTTTCTAAAACTAATGTTGCAACACTCAGCAACACTCATTTTAAGTGGAAACTAACATTCAGAACTCTCCACCAAAACTTCTCACGCTTAATACTAAATCACAGAAAAATGGATGGTCACAGAATATATTAGTGCATTCAGCAATCCCAAGATAAAATTCATGTTTGACTGTGGATACAGCAGAGCTGCCATTTGCACAGTAACTTATAAATTAAAAAAAATAAGTCCATAAAGATAACACAACTCCTTGCTGCAACTAAGATCATTATTAGTTCAATTTCCTTTAACAATAGTGGCAGAAACAGTTACTACCTACCCTTTAGTTTTGTGTCATCAATTACTCTTGACTAATTGTGCTTGATCCTATTGCATTTGATCATATTTTTGATTACTTTAGAATTATAAATCCACCCTCAAACGTGAGTACAGCTTGGTAGACCCAGTCTCTTGTTGTCACCTACTGAAATTCCCATACAATATGTCTGATACCATAGACTGCTATGATACTTAATACAAATCTGTTTCATACTCCTGCAGAACACCACTAACAGCATGCCACATGACTCTTAATATTATTACGCAGATTTCCAGTACCCAACACACAGAATTTTGTCTAAACTGTGAATACTTCTCATTATCATTAATGAGAAGCTATGCTGAAATCAAGACCTCTGCTATTTCTCTTACTCATGGAACATTATCCTGTTGCAGAAAGACTTTAGATGCATCTAAGTTCATTTAACATCTTTAAGTCCATTTTGGCTGCTACACATGAACATGGAAATGGCTGAGCTGAGAAATTAAGTTCCTCAGAATGGTAAAAAAAAATAAAAATAAAAATAAATAAATTAAGAAACCAACAATCAGATGAATAGAATTCACCTATATAAAACTGTAAGCATAGCTCATGCCTTTAACCTTTATTCATGAACATAGATGTGTCATTTGTGCACTCTGAACATGTCTGCACTGTCCTAAAATAGAATTATTATTTTAAATAAGACCACTCAGGAAAAATAAACTGAACTTCTAAAAACTGACCACCAAAAAGAAAATGAGTTGAGCCTTGTTCCATAACAAGTCAGAAATTAGAACTCTTTTTCCTTCATTATGTGAAGAAATCGAAACCCCCAACCCATACCATAAACCCCAACCACAAACCCAAGAAAAATCCTAGCTGAATCAAACCCTTTCTTTAAACTATTGTAAAGGGGGAAAATGGCAAGTAGAAAATGTTAAATCTGTTTTGCCTAATTGTGAATCACTATGAGTGTACAGATGCTGTGCAGCTCATGCTTAATATATGCTTATTTACATACATTCACAAATGTTATTTGGCAACATATAAATTTAAATTCTGAACCTATGCACCATGTTTCAAAACCCAGCAATTCTGCGACTGCTATAAATTCTACATTTTGAGAGTTTCAATTTAATTTGCAGTGAAAAAAGATTTGACAGAGTCCGTTAAACTCTATTTTCCCTTTACTTCAAACACAATGGCAATCTACTGATCTTCAGAGAGCACTTGTTCTCTGACCACTGATTTTACTTCCATTAAGATGCACACCCTCTAAGGAAGCAACTGATGCTTAAAAATATGACTACAACACCTTAGGATACCATATATATTCACACATACTTAGTTGGCAGACACCAAAACTACAGGGGATTTAATTCAATGTTTCATTTATATATACTAAAGTAAATGAATTGGACGCTGCTTTCATTAGAAAATATAAAAAGTACGTAGCAAAATGTACAACTAGTACCCGTCCTGTTCTACAAAACTGAAATTCAGACTCTCACTAATACTGCTTTGGAGAAACTTATGATTCATGTGAACAGCTTAGCAACAAATAGGTCATTGCTTCCTGTAACCTGTGATGTCTAAAACAGGTCTTTACATCATTTTCTCCTTCAAAGCATCTATTTCCTCCTTCACCTTTTAAAAAGTCAAGTGACTAAAGACCAACACAGGTTCTGTATGTCAACAAGAAAAATATTCTGGATGAAAGTTTCATTTTTAAGGACTCAGTGAAACAGATGTAATTAAAAATAAGAGGAAAATATTTTTGCTTCAAATCAGAAATTTCAGGGCTTAAAAAGCAAGTACAACATAAATTTTATCCCTCCAAGAAATATCTTAACCTTGATAGGAAAAGATTTTTCTAAATATTCTCTCTTCATAATCTGCAGTTATGCTGTAAGAGAACATTTTTTAAAGAAATCACCTATTTATTATGCAGCACAAATATTAATGGCCTGCATTCCAAATGCTATTATTCTCTGCTTCCATTACTAAGATTCAAATCAGCCAGCACTGCACAGCTATGGGTAACATGTAATCAATTAATTGAAGATAAACTAAAACAGACAACTGGATGTCAAAATCTTTAATCTTACCTGACAGGCAGATGTATGTTAAATATTCACCCTGACCCCCAGTAGCAAGGAAAGGAATCTTTTTTTTCGTTCTTCTTTTAACTTGGACAGCTCCCAGCATCCTTTCATCATGTGGGGCAAAAATTTCTTTGTTGATTGCAGATTTGGTATTCATTGTAGATCAGATATAGCAGACTGACACTCTCTAAAACAAAATCAGAAATATAAAACTATTAGGAACTACCCCTAAGCTATGTGAAATTCCCTTTATCTTATGCTGGCATTTGCAACACCGACCCTTCAAATAAAGTCTTTAACGCATCAAAGAATTTTCAACAGAATTTTGCATACTTTGAGGTAGAATTTTCTAAATATCTGAGTTGTCCCTGAGGTACTTCTTGTTATGCACAGTTCTCAATCTAGCTAAGCCTAGAAGCAGTGCATGCTAGGACTTCATCTGAGAAGACTTTGGGTCACATTGAACACCTTCTGACTTTATTCTACATAAAAGCCTCATTAATTTTCTCTCTGGTAAGTGGTGGAAATCTCTTTTCTTGATCCTTGTACACTTTTGAAATCACTTGTTCTATGGCTGTTGACTCTGGAAATTTTCAGATGAACAATGTTCTTACTAACTTCTCAAGCCTCTGATTTTCCATTCTAAAAATTTTCTACTTCCCTTTACATTAGTCTTAACATAAGCGTCACTGATCCTCTCTAAGAATCATCTGTACTTCTTACTACCAAGCTCCCACAATACCATCTTCAGCTTTTTCCTTACTTGGAGGGTGAAGATATATTTTTATTTTTTATTACACAAGTGGCACCTCCAAGCATTTCAATCAAACTTCCTAGAGGACAGTCCAAAATGAGGCTCTTATTTGCCCTAAGTGATAACCTCCATATCTCAACTAGTGAAGTAATAAATTCTACTTGCAGGAAAATACTAACAGATGATACTTGCCACACTTTTATCATTGGAAAACAGATAAATTCTGGTCAGATTAGATTATAAAGCCAAGAAAGTCATGGAATCATTATGTTAGTGCGCATAGTATTAGCGAATAAATGTCTCACCATTTTCAGTCTCAACATTTTATTGGCATCTCTTTATGATGATCTCTTATGATTTTGCTTCCAAAATACATATTCAAGGAGGTGTGACAGTGCACAACTTGGTTCAAATCTAGTTAATAACCTATTTATTTTAGGATCTAATTAAAATCCTTGTTGAACAAAACACTAAATAATAGTAAGCCCCAGTTTCAGAATAGTTAGAATTACAGCTGTGGAAACTAACACATTATAGAATCATAGAATGGCCTGGGTTGAAAAGAACCTCAGAGATCACCTGGTTTCAACCCCGCTGCTGTGGGCAGGGTCACCAACCACTAGACCGGGCTGCCCAAAAACACATCCAGCCTTGTCTTGAATGACTCCAGGGATGGGGCATCCAAAACCTCTCTAGGCAACCTGTTCCAGTGCATCACCACCCTCTGGGTGAAAACCTTCCTCCTAATATCTAACCTAAATCTCTTCTGTCTTAGTTTAAAACCTTTCCTATAACTATCAATCCATGTAAACAGTCGTTTCCCCTCCTGCTTATACGCTCCCTTCAAGTACTGGATGGCCACAGTGAGCTCTCCCCAGAGTCTTCTCTTCTCCAAGATAACCAAGCTCAGTTTCCTCAACCTTTCTTCAGAGATGCTCCAGCTCTTGGATCATCTTAGTGGCCCTCCTCTGGACCAGTTCCAAGAGCTCTGCATCTTTCTTGTGCTGGGGGCCCCAGGCCTGGATGCAGTACTCCAGACAGGGCATCACAAGAGATGAGTAGAGGGGAACAATGACCCCCCCTCCTCTGGGTGCTGGCCACCCAGTTTTTAATGCAGCCCAGGATATAGTTAGCCTCCCAGACTGCCAGTGCACACTGCTGATTTATGTCCAGCTTCTCATCCACCAGGATCCTCCAGTCCTTCACAAGGCTGCTCTCGAGATCTTCTCACAGTCTATATAAATACCTGGGATTTTGCTGGCCCAAGTGTAGCACCTTGCACTTGGCCTTGTTGAACCTCATTAGGTTCACATGGGCCCATTTCTCCAGCCTGCCCAGGTCCCTCTGGATGGCTTCCCTTCCCTCCAGTGTATCAGCTGCACTGCTCAGCTTGGTATCATCTGTAAACTTGCTGAGAGTGCACTCAGTTCCATTGTTTATATCATTGATGAAGATGTTCAAGAGCACTGGTCCCAAGATTAAGCCTTAAGGGACATAACTTGTGACTGGCCTCCACTCTGACGTAGAACCACTGATCACAACCCTTTGGCTGCGACCAGCCAACCAGTTCTTAATTCATCAAACAGTCCATCTTTCTAATCCATACTTCTCCAATTTAGAGAGAAGGATGTGGTGAGGGACCATATCAGAGGCTTTGCAGAATTCCAGATAGACGACATCTGTTGCCCTCTCCTTTCCACCAATGCTGTCACTCCATCACAGAAGGCCACTAGATTGGTCAGACAAGATCTGACCTTGGTGAAGCCATGCTGGCTGTTGTGGATCACCTCTTTATCTTTTATGTGCCTTAACGTAACTACAAGAATCTGCTCCATGATCTTCCCAGGCACTGAGGTGAGACTCACCAGCCTGTAATTCCCCAGATCATCCTTTATTCTCATTTTTAAGAAAGGAAGAATGTTTCCCTCTTCCCAGTCACTGCGGATTTCACCTGACAGCCATGATTTTTCAAATGTGATGGCAAACAGCTTGGCAACCGCATCTGCCATCTCTCTTAGAACCCTGAGATGCATTTCATCTGGCCCCATGGACTTATGTATATTCAGTTTCATGAGGAAGTCTCGGACTTGTTCCACTGGAACAGAATACACTCCTTTCACCCAGATCTAGAGGTTCATGGTCCTGGCAGACATGAGGAGCCTGATCACCAGTGAAGACCGAGGCAAAGCACTTAGTGAGCACCTTAGCATTTTCCATGTCTAAGGAAGCCAGTTCTCCACTCTCATTTATCAGAGGGGGAACACCCTCCTTGGTCTGTCTCCTCCTGTCTATGTACCCATAGAACCCCTTGTTATTTTTCACATTCCTTACCAAGTTCAGCTCCATCTGTGCCTTGACTTTCCTGATGTTATCTCTACATATGTGGACAACATCCCAATATTCTTCCCAGGGTACACAACACTGCTTCTACTTCCTGTACATTTCCCTCTTTTCCCTCAATTAAAGCTGAAGGTCCTTGCTCAGCCATGCTGGTTGCCTACCTCCTCTGCACAATTTCTTCTGCTGGGGGATGGAGAGCTCTTGTGCTCACAGAAGGATGTCCTTAAATAGCTGCTAGCTTTGTTTGTTCCCATGCCCTGCAGGCCAGCTTCCCAGGAGATCCCATCCAGCAGTTCCTTGAGCAGCCGGAAGCTTGCCTCCTGAAGTTCAGGGTTCTAACTCTACTTTCTGCCAGGCCTGCACTCCTCCAGATCACAAACTTCACCAGGGCATGATCACTTACAGCCCAGGCTGCCTCTAGTCTTAACATCTCTAATGTTCTCCTCTGCATTAGTAAGCATTAGGTTCAGTAAGGCTTCATCCCTGAACAGTTTGTGTAATACCTGGACCAGGAAGTTATCCTCAACAGACTCCAAGAAGCTCCTGAATTATCTACCACCTGCCATGCCACTATCCCAGCAAATATTTGGGTGGCTGAAATCCCCCATGAGAACAAGAGCCTGTGAGCACGACACTTACAGGAGTTGAAGCAAGAAGGCCTTGCTAAAGGCTCCCCTTGATCAGGAGGCCAGTAGTAGATTCCAGCCACTAGATGTCCTTTACTGGACCAATCCTTGATTTTAACCCGTACACTCTCAACCTGGTCAAGGCTGTTACTCAGACACAGCTCTTAACAATCTACCCACTTCCTAACATAAAGGGCAACTCCCCCTCCCTTCCTACCCTGTCTGTCCCTCTGAAGGGCCTATAGAGCTTATAGAGTGAAGTTACTTCACCCTAAGAAAAATCAATTTATTTTAAAGTATCCCTTATCAAAAGAAACTTCCAGACCAATTTCAAAGAAAAAAATTTGAAAAGTGAATGCTTGGCTTCTGAAGAGATGAGATTTTTTTAACTAATACATAAAAGTTACCTTTCATGTAACAACAAATATATCAGCATGAAAAAGGAATAAAAATAAATCTACCATCCAGATACTTACAAGAGGTCATGATATTTCTTCTGCTTATCATATTAAACTTTTTCTGCTCTTCTGTATTATGGAAGTGTATATTGTAGCAGCATGCTGTTGGTCATTAGGACTATTTTTCCAATTTTTATTTTTAAATTCAAAGCCACTATTCATGACTACAGCTTCAGTCACACAGTGCTCCTTCTAGCTGAGATAAAGACTGATAATCATTACAGAAATAACTTCAATCTCAGACCTTCAAATGCTTAAACAACTTCTAACTAATGGAACATTGGGAAAGCCAAAATAGATTCTCAGGTAAAGATATACTTGAGTTACAGAAAAAGGTTTCTCTAACAGCAATAATCTCATGCTGTAAGTTTTGCATCTGGACTGTTGGACTGCAGCTGTCCTCAGACATTTTCTTGTGCTTCATGCAGCTTACAGTGAAGTGTGATTTCAAAGACTGTACGTGAATCAAAGGCTTCCTTGATTAAGACAGCAAATATTTATAAAGAAAGGAATAATTGCACTAAAACCAGAGTGCCCTATTTTCAGTTTTCCTTACCTAAAAAATTGGTTGCAGTACTAAATATTATTTGTTTATAGATTTACAGCTTTCCTAGAATCATAGAATCACAAGGTTAGAAATGACCTGTAAGATCATCTAGTCCAACTGTCTTCTCATTATCATTGCTACCACAAATATATGATTCATATAATACTTCAAGATTTACTTCAAGGATGAGTCTCTCTGTATATAGCTAATAGGATTCTGCTGAACAGGAGGCAGGCCAAAGAAACAAGAAGTAGTACTCAAATTCTGTTTCATAGATTTCCCTCCAAGAAACTAGAATAACTACCAAATAACCTAAAATAAATACAAAACATATTGAATTTAATGAATTTCACTATGTATATACATATGTTTAATCTGGCAGATAATGGAGGAGCTTTTATGTACAAACAGCACAAATCCAACTTTTATACAAAATCCAGCTTGATAGTATCACAAGGCAGA